CAAGATTTGGATAGCTTTAAAAAAATATTTTGGAAAATATAGATTTCGATATCTATAAAGTAAATTTCTTACTCCAAAATTTAGGTGGCAACCCTATTCCGAAATACGCTGGGATGAATGGTACATATCTTGTGCGTATATGTAATGTGCATACTAAAAAAATGCTGATTGAAATTAACTAAATTAAAGTTTGTATTACATAGAAGAGTGGCAACCCTGATGGAAAATATTTTCTGACCAAAGTTTTCACCAATACCTTTCATTTGATATCCACATTGCCATCTTTTAGATAATTTGTGTAGAATCGAAAATAAGTGGCAACCTTATACTATTATCCTAAGGGATACCATTTTGTATATGTGTAGGGAAAGCATTGTTGAAGAACCTTCTCTTGGTACCCATGAATAGTAATACCTTTTTACCTTTTCTTCAAAACAAAAAATTAAATAAATATGCGAAACATAGCTGGCAACCCTATTAAAAATATTTTTGGTTAGGGATCTTTAAAATACCTTCCATTTGATACCCACATTATGATGTTTTAATTAATTTGTAACTAATTTGGAATAGGTGGCAACCTTATGCGAGTCTTCTTCGAGATAATGCCCATTCAGATAACCTTAAAATCCAAAATATTATCTGTGTACAAAATTTTATCAAAATCGTTAGAGCCGTTTCCGAGAACCCTATGGATATATATATATATATACAAGAATTGCTCGTTTAATGTAATATAAGATGTATTAGGGATGTTGCGAATGTGGAATTTTAGACATCCGCGGATGCGAATGCGGATGCGGATATTTAAAAGCTAACATCCGCGGATGCGGAGAGGTTAGTAATTTTTAATAATGTTTTTTTCGTACTTGAGTTTAAAAATTGGAACATTGTGTTTAATAAAAACTTTTTATGAAAAAGTAATGTTGTTGCCTTTTTTGGTTACAGCCGGTTTCTTAAAGGGTCGTAAATCAAACCTGCGGCACTAAATAACTACTCGCTCGAGGCGACAAACTTGAAAAACTTGAAACTTGACAAAATTGTAAATTCATTTCGATTGACGCTGCACCAGTTGAGATAACTTTGAGTTATTTTTTTCACTTCGGTGCAAAAATTCCTTTTTGAGAATTGCATCGGGGCTGCAAATGTCGGATGTATCCTCCGGACTTTCATCTTCACAATCTAGCATCATGGCAAGATCGTTGTTTATACACCGTTTTTTCCAAAGAATTCTTCATTCTCATTCTTTTGGTTGTTTCTGAATTTGGAGAACCTGTAACGTCACCAGCGTTTTTTTCATTTCAGTTTTTGTAATTAATTTTTAATCATTGCTTCTTGGACTGGCCAGATATACGTTTTATCAGTGCACTTTCACAATATTCCAGGGACCGAAAATAACAGTTTTTTTTTGTAACGAGTTAAACTTAGCCAAATATTTTGATATCATATGAAGAGGACTGAAATAGCTTTTAAACAGAAATAACGAACGAAGGTTTATATATTTTTTTTTATAATTTAATACTAAAGCAATTCATATACCTGACATTTTTTATTGAAATATTTTCAATAGGTTGTTTTCCTCGTTTAGACATTTCAGTTTTAAAGCTATTTACTTCCTCTTTGATTTGATACCAAACTTGTTTAATTTGGATAAGCGGTTTGTTTATCATCCGGAAAGGACTTTTATTTCGGAATAAAAAATACTTGACCAAGTTTAACTCCTAAAAAAATTAACTGTTATTTTCGGTCCCTTCAATATTCGCATTCGCAAGAGATCCGCATTGATTATTGCGAATGCGAATGTTGAAATTAATGCGGAAGCTCCGCGGTTGCGAATGCGAATATTCGCAACAACCCTGATATGTATGTAGGTGGATACGGACACAGGTTCACGCCTGTCTGTAATTCAATTAAACTTCCGAGCAGATAGCAGAATTTCGAACATTTTTCAGAGCCACCGCTGTAACCGCGCATTCACACTCACTGCCTACCTGACTGCCCTTTTAGGCCCATAGCATCTTTCCACGCTGTTGTTCTGCATAAGCCTTGTTTGGAAATAGATATATGCATTGATGTAAACAAGTAAATGGTAAACTACCAAGGCGTTCGAAACTGACTCGCTGTCGGCTTGACTTGCATTACCTGCTGTTGATCACAGCTCGCAGTTTCATGCGCTTCAAACGACTGTGATCCCGGCAGCGGCAGATCTTTTCATATTACCAGTTTTGAATCTCGCTGCCGCTGCAGTCGTTGACATCGACAACAATATCAACGTCGCCGCCGCTGTCGCTGCCAAAGTAAATATTTCTGTAGCGATTGTCTCTTTTTAGTCTTTAAGGCTGATTCACATACAACTTTCTTCGCTTTGTTTGATAGTTCTTTGCTTTGCCATATAAGATCGATGTAGGCATATGCATGAGTATGCTCACATAAAAAACGTTTGAAGCAAAGCGAAGCAAAATCTTGGGCAACTCTCAACTTTTGCCCGCTTTGGCAATCAGCTGTCTACATTTATCTATTCTTGTGCGCTTGCATTTGCATTTAATGACAAAAATAGGGTAAATAGGAATTTTTATTGCTATTATTAATGCATATTATTATATTGCTATCTATTTTACAGATAAAAAATATGGAGGAAAAGGAGAACGCAAAAGCTGTCAAAGCGTTTATTGTAGCATACCTTCTACGTTTCGCGCTTTGTTGTCAAAGTTTGAACTGTCAAGCAAAGCGAGGAAAGTTGTATGTGAATGGCCCTTTACTTTCCCGTCTTATTCGTCGTCGTTTTGCTCCACACCACTCGATGCTCCGCGCTTGCCTCTTAACGATGGCGATGACGACGACTTCCTGCAACTCACACATTAGCGAGTAGGCCCTCTGTGCCAGTACTGCCAGAAAATTTTTGTGAAAGAAACATCTAATTTTGTTTATATCGTAAAAATATGTATTTATTAAGTACATAAAAGTATTATAAACAAACAAAATCTAAATTGTTTACGCGATTTTTACAATGCCATGCAAACATAAAAATTGCAAAAAGTTTGCAGGTATGCAGAATAGTCAATGTAAAAATGCTAAAAAATCGTGCGACTGTGCAATTGAATTCTAAGTTTATCTAGTTTTGAATTCCGTGTGGCATTTTCATGAAATTTTGCTCGCGAATAAAATCAAAATGCTAAAAAATTTTAAAATGTTATCGTATGCTACGAAAAATTTGGCCTTAAAAGTGTATTTAGTACTTTTTTGATTAGACGCATAACTTCTGAGAAAATAATTCGTATATGTATTTTGGACCTTTTTGTATTTCATCGGCAGTGCACGAACTACGAAACCCTAAAAATACAAAATTACTAGACCCATCGTATACGAGGAAAAAATTCCCAAAAAGAATGCCCCGTTTTTATCCAAATTATTTATGACTAGTAAATTATAATATTTGGGCAAATCCTGGCGTAACGGAGCAACGTTCATATTCTTCTTTTAATTTTTTGGCGGCAAAACAATAATACGCTAAAAATTTCCGTAGTGTAAGGGAAGGTTTCAAGCAGCATTTATGAGAGCAGAATAGTGGAAATTCGAATGTAAAGTAATAGCAGTGTATTTGCCCCCACTTTCATATATGGAGAACAAAATCTACAAGAACACATTGTAGAGGAAATAAGAAAGGGCGAATAATGTATTAATAAAGTAAAATAAAGGTTGTTTATAATTTTTAATTGCTAAATTATTTTTAAAGCGATGCTGTGGCATTTTATTTAAAGAGATGGTGTTTAAAATTAAACCTATTCAGAACTTTTCTTTAGGAAGTAAGAGGGGCAAATCACATTTGAGAAGTCCACTTGCAAACAGCGTTATGTGATTTTATAATAGTAAGCCATAAATTTAAAAAAAAAGTCTACAACAACAAGTAAGATCCAACTTGTATAATTCTTTTTATAACCTGAAAATTGTGATAATAAAGAGCCTAATAACATTAAAAAACAAAATCGCAGTGTGGTAGTTTTTGTAAATTTTATATCTAAAAATTTAATATAGCGAGTTCTGAAACAGTAACTTTTATATAGCTAGCTTTTTCCAGCTTTTCGCGTTCTCTCTTCCATGAAGGTTGGTCTGCTCCTTTTTTAGGACGTCTTCCACTAGGCACCGAAACTACCGCGTTTTCTTGCAGTTTTCTAAGTTCATCAGAGTATGGAGACTTTTGAGCTTATATAAATACGTACAATAAATATTATAGCGACTTTTAAAAGTGTATATATACATACAGTAAGTATTATAGCAACTTTTGCTAGAGTAGCTATCATTTGATGCTATTTTTTCAGAATATATAAGGATTTTGCACTGTATTGTTAGTGGATATGAAATTCCTTTAAATACTGGTACGTTTACCAGATAAAAATTAAAAATCGAAAAAAATTTACATATCGCACTTTGCAAGTGGACTACTCATTTCTCAAATAAAAGCAAAAGGAAATATCGAATTAATATATGTACATACATATATTGCATCATACTATTCTTGATACAAATATGAAAAGATTTGAATTACACGAATTTTACCCGTTCCTGGTTGACCATTTTTCGGATTTGCCCATACATTAATTTTGATTTTGTCATTTAAAAAAAAATCGTTTGTGATAAAAAATGCTGATTAAAGTGGTGGTTTCCAGCTTGTTACCAATTTTTGTTTTATTTGAATTAATCTGAGAGAACACCCTTTCCACATTTGATGTTGAAACCAGATAGAAATTCTGCAAGTCTTCATAGTAAAGATCCTTTTGTATGCAATTTTCATTCATTTCATTTGAACTGAAGGTATTCATTAAGATTTTGGCGATATTTTTTGAAAATAGGCCTTCATTTTGGAGATAAATTGTACTTCTGGCAACACTGCTTTGTGTGCGTGCTTTGTAGCCAAAGTCATACCGTGGCCATTGCTAGTTACCGTCATCAACGCTATCGCTTCGTCTTCTGTAGCTGCTTTGCTTTACTTTGCCTCTTTTCAGCGTTCTCAGCTCGTCGCATACTGGCGCGCTGTCAGTGTGTGCGACTGCTGGCTGTACACACAGTATACACCCTCTACTTGCGCTGCAAAGCAACATACTAGTGCGGTGCGCGCAATCGACGGGGCTACAACATTCACAACAAAGTTGAATCGTATATTAAAAAAAAACAAATCAAATAATAATAATAGTAAATGTAATAATACAAGATAAAAAGTAAAAGCTGTTCGCGTAAACAGCCTAGATTTTTATTTCAACGTACTGATTTCAGTTTGTCAATTGTTTCGAACGCTATACATATGTATATATCCAATTATTTGTTGGTACCCACTAACTAACGCGTGGTGATCACCTAATCAACCCATAGTCTGGATGATCGCCGATCGAACGTGAGTCCGTGTAGGAAAATATTTCGCGACCTAAACTGCGGTTTGCTTGCCGTATCGTAGTGACCAGTGGAGCAAACAGTCAGTCGTTTATTTTTAAAGTACCGACGGTATTTCTGCACTGTATTTTACGTACATACATACATAAGTGGCTTGTTTCTATGCTTTATTGGTTTACTTTTGCTTGTTTAGCTGGCGTGCTTTCGATTAATTTGTGTTTTTTGTGCCTCAGCACACGTGTGCTTGTGTGAGTTTTATTGTTTGATAATTTTTAGCTGCCAATGATCGGTGCAAATGCTACGTAAATACATAAATACATACATATTATGTTCGTGCTTTCAGCAGCAGAGTGCGCTACCAGATGTAGGTGATGCAAATCAAAAAATAAATCATTTGTTGCAAATTCAAATGCCGACGGTGTTGCAGCAAACCTGCAAACAATAGCAATAAGTATATGCGGCTATATGATATGAAAATGATAAATAAATAAATAGAAATAACACAACATGCATTCGACAATAATAAAAACAACAATTTATGCGCGTTGGTGGTGGCGAAGTGCGCTGTAAAGGCGGTTGGTTGCCGGTAGCAACGCCCACTAACAAAAGTGTATCACATCCCAGCCCAGAGCATCACTGATTACGCGGCTACCGAAGCCATTAGAGCAACCAGTGAAATGTGCACTGTCTCCTCTGATCACATCAGCGATTACGATCGTGACGACTGCAACACCACTGCACTAAAGAGGCGACACTGGTTGCATTGAGATGTACCTATGTATGTGCATACATATGCATGCATGTACTTATACGCGCACATACCCTTGTGTAAATGCATGAATATATACATTCATTAGACTGCATCACGCCCCAACCAACAAAAAATTGGTACTGTGTTTCCATTGGAATTATAAAATCTATTATATTTTAAGACGTCCACCAAAATATTGCGGAAAAATATTAAGTTAAATCGGTCCAGTTCACGTAAATCTTAATATTTTTCCGAAATATTTTGGTGGACGTCTTAAATATAATCATTTTTTTTAGTCCCAGCGGAAAAACCGCAATTTTTTTTGGTGATGCAGTCTAATATACATGTGTACATACATTCATACATGTATACAATACATAAGTAACAAACAACAGCAAACTGTAAAAGAAGCAAACAACGCTAGCACAACAAAATAAAAACATAAATCCAAATATTTAAAAAATAACTACAATATATAAGAGTGGAAAAAGAAAAAGTACATACATATTATGGAAGTTGCGAATGTGGACACCCGAGGATGCGAATGCTGATGTCTAAAAGCTAAACATGTATGATGTCAAGTATTTATAAAAAATTTAGGTAAGTAAATTAGGTAATTTAGGTAGATGAAAAATGGAAAGTTGAAATATTGAATAGTGTTTATTTCAATTAGTACTTGAGTCTAACAATTAATGCTTTATACTTACTAAAAAGGAAAGTTGCTGCTTTTTCAGATTCCAGCCTGTTTCTTAAAGCATCGTAAATCAAACCTGCACCACTAAATATCTGCTCGCTCGTAACACTTTCTAGTGGAGGCGACAAATATCTGCGTGCGAAACTTTCAGTTATAACTATTTATTCTTTTTTTATGGCGGTACAAGAATAATTAGTTTTTTGATTATAGCATTGGGGCTGCTCCTGTCGGATGTATCCTCCTGACTTTCATCTTCACGTAAACAATCTAGCATAAAGGCCTGTATGCAGTTTCAAGAAATGCTAAAATTCCATACAAAATGACGTACAAGAAATGGCTAAGAAATTTTCTTGAGTCAAATTTCCTTCAGACAGTACGCAGTTCTTAAGAAATTTGCTACGCTTTTTACTATGGTTTTCTAAAGTTTTTTGTGAAAAAAGAGCACAAGGCAACCCAGGTTTGCAACAGAAATATATGCTCGTTCCATTATTTCTTGAGGAAAGAGTGAGGCAACAGGCTGTGGAGTATCAAAAATGTCAAAATTCCTTGGATACACACACGAAATAATGGCAAATTTTTCTTGACCGATTTCTTGAGAGCTGCATACAGGGCTTAATGGCAAGATTGTTATTTAAACACCGCTTACTAGCAGTGTTGCCGTTTTGATACATATGTATTCAATTGGATACATTTTCGTCTTAAAGTTTGAGAGATACTTCATTTTTTTCCTCAGTGCAAATTTGGATACCTTTTCCAATAAGTATTCATTAGTTGAAGGAATTTATTTTTTATTTATGTACGAGGTATTACAACATTTTTAAAAGTTGGCTGCTCATCCTCCAAGCAATGTACATAAACGTGCATTTAATAAAACCAAGTAAGTAGTTTGCAAATTGTAAAAAGTTTTCCGACCTGTGATATTTAGCTGTAATGCGAAAAAATCAACTTTTACATCCCGAGCAACCCTTCTCTTATTATTCAAAGGAAATTGACAACCATTCCGATGACAAATTTTCAACAATAACTTGACTGTACTAAAAATAACTTCTAACTTCTAAATTTTCAGTTATATGTCGTTAAGCGAGAATTCAAACAACCCGGAAATAGAAATGTTTCTTGAAGGCGAAATTTACAGGCAAATACAAGTTTTTGAGAATTGTTTTAATTTCATAGATACTAGCTCCCAATCCAGCAGTTCGAGTGAAAAACATTGTAACCATAATAGCGGGAAATAACAATTTACTGAACTAAATGAAACAGGTCAAAATTAGTTTAAATCGGTATTATTTTGATAGACTAAGAAACATTTTTTGTATGTCTTATTTGTGGGAATCTTATCGTAGTAATAAACATCGAATATGCGGAAACTTTGGCCCGTAGTTGTTGTTAGCATTTTTAAATTCCTAGAAACAGATCTGGTAAACAAAGGCCCGTAGTTATAGTCAAAACTAAGACAACACTAAAGTTAGTTGCAGCTTTTTTGACAGGTATTCATTGAAAATTATGTCAAAAAGCTGCAATTAACTTTAGAGTCCACTTAATTTTGATTATAACTACGGGCCTTTGTTTCCCAAATCAGTGTCTAAGGATGGGAAAATACTGACTTCATGTTAATAAGTTTGTTAAGGGGTCGAGTTTCTCTTCCATAGATGTACTGTGTAAAAATGTCCGCTCTTTTCGGTGGATACATTTGAATACAGTTTTCGATTTGTTATGGTCACTTTAAAGGCTAAGGCAGTCTTCAGGGTTTTTCGATTTTAGTTTTTGTTATTCATTTTTAATTCTTTCATCAGTGGCTGGGTTGTAAAATGTGTGTTTATAGCTTATTTTATTCAATATTTCCTTGTTCGTAACTTCTAAATCTCTGTGAATGCTAAGTAAAGCTGAATCAATTAATCTTTGTTCCCCAGTTTTACGTCGTAATAAGTTATGTTCGACTAAGGGCTAGTGTTGCCAAATGTCCCGTGTTTGCCGGGACGTCCCGTATTTTGCATTAAATTTGAAATGTTCCGCCGGGACAAGATTTTTCCCGTATGTTCGAAAATTTCATTATTTATTTCAACCTATAAACTTCTACTCAACACGGTCATGTTTTAACGCGGCTATTGTGAGTAGGTCATTAGAAAGCATTATTGCAAGCAACTCTGTAAGAGAAATATAGCTAAAAATTACCGTTGATTTTTTAGAATTTTTTGTGGAGGGTGTTTCGAATTTTCTTCCATATAACCCATGAACAAAACGGATTTTTATATCGAAGAAAATGCGTTACACCCTCCACAAAAAAAAAAATTCTAAAACATTAACACAAAGTTTTACGCCGACTCCGAACGCTGATTGGATTTTTTAATGAAAAGCTGTTTTTCATGGCAGAAATACAATCGGAGGTTTGCCATTGCCTGCCGAGGGGCGACCGCTGTCAACAAAAAAACCTTTTTTCAACATTTTTTGCGATGTTGCTTTGACCAGGGCTTGAACTCAGGCCCTGCGGAGTGGAAGCGCCAACCTCTTACCACTGCACCACAGCACGAAATAAAATTGAATGCGCTAGAAAGCTACTTGAAATCTTTCTACGAAATCTAAATAAATTGAAGTAGGTGTTCTGACCAACATCTCCATCCATGCCTCCCCAAACGAAGTGCTGTTTTACTAGTTGAGCTGTTGCTTTTTTTCCGGGGTGTGCTGTATTATGAAATTTCGCGATTACTAATTGACGTTGGTGCAGTGGTACGTATGGTCGTGCTTGCTCGCCGGAAACATCGCACATGATGGAGGTGTCTGTCGAAGGCAACGTTACCCTTTTCAGCTTAAGCGACGTTTTATTTGAATTTAGCAACTCACGTAGTTCGTCACAGGTTTTCTGTTGCTTGGCCATTTCGTCTTAGTCTATGGCGTCACCAGTGGCGATGTTGATGGTGTTGAGCGTATCTGCGGTGATATTAGTTGCTCCCGAGACATATATATTTGTAGAAAACTGTCCTATAAAATCTAGGTGACGAATCTGTCTCTCTTCTGGGTAAATGCAAACGTGAGCGGCTTATGATCCGTCGCAAAAGTGAATTCCCTGCCTTCCAACAAGTGCCTAAAATATTTGATAGTGGTGTAAATTGCAAGGAGCTCGCGATCATAGGTGCTATACTTGCATTGCGCTGGCGAAAAACGCGAGAAAAACGCGATCGGTTGTGGCTCACCTTCAACTACTTGGTGTATTACTCCGCCCATTGCGCTGCCGTTTGCATCTGTACATAACATATTGCTAGCTGACGGAGCTGGATGTACAAACAACGTGGCGTTTGCATGATCGTCTTTACACTTCTGAAAGTAATAAGTGCACCTGTTGTCCCATAAAAGAGCTGTTCTGTCTTTTTTCTTGTTGCCCACAATAAGTGAGTTTAGATGTTGCTGATGATGAATCGCGTGTGGTATGAACCGACGGTAAAAATTTATCATAACTAAGAAACGTTTGAGCTCGAATTCGAATTTTGGTAGTGGGAACTCTTGGATGGCCTTGATTTTTTCTGGTAATGGGCCTTGCGCTGTTATCAAATGCCCTAAAAATTCGATTTGTGGGGCCCCGAAGACGCATTTCGATGGATTTATTGTTAAGCGGTGTTGCCGTAAGCGTTCGAAAACCAAACGTAGGTGCGCAGTGTGTTCTGCTTCGGTTGTAGATGCTACGCAAATGTCGTCAACGTAACAAAAAGCAAAGTCGAGGCCTCGAAGTGCTTCATGCATATACCTTTGAAACGCCCGTGCGGCGTTTCGTAACCCAAATGGCATACGCATGAACTCAAAAAGTCCGAAAGGTGTATTGACTGCTGTCTTCGGTATATCTTCGGCGGCGACTGGAATTTGGTAGTAGCCCCGAAACAAACCAATTTTAGAAAAAACATTTTTACCGCGTAAGTAATAAGTAAAGTCCTGGATATGAGGCAGATGGTACTGGTCAGGAAGAGTTTGTGCGTTGAGTGCCCTGTAATAGCCACAGGGTCGCCATGTGTTATCGGCTTTGCGGACTACATGTAATGGCGAGGCGTAGGGGCTCTTAGATGGTCTGCAAACGCCGATTCTCATGAGGTGTTGAAATTCTTCCTTAACTGACTGGTACTTGTCTGGCGTTAGTATTCTGGGGTTTTCCAAAGACAGGTTGGCCTTCTGTTTCGATGATGTGTTTGACGGTCTTGGTAGCAGGGACTGTATCAAAAGGTTTATTGATTTGCGTAATTACCTTAAACTCCCGTAGTAATTCTGCGTAGTTACAATTGATGTCATATGTTGTTATGGAATATTGTTGTACGCCATTTGCGTGCGCAGCTTTGTTTTTACTTTCGTAAGTCCGTCGATGATAGTAGCATTGCGCATGTCTATCAGAATGTTGAAGTTGGTGAGGAAATCAGCTCCAATTATATTTTGCTTGGTGGCAGCTGCAATAAATGTGCATTCGAAGCCTCTACGAAGTCCGAGGTCTAAGTTTAGACGAACGAACCCAAAGGTTGTTATTTTAGTGTTATTTGCAGCGAACAGTTGCGGTGTTGATGTTGTTAGGGCTTCACGATTAATGCCTGATACACTAATAATCGAAATGTCAGCGCCCGTGTCTATTAAAAACTGTCGATTAGTACGGCAGTTGAGTACGAAAAATCTTCTACTCATGTTAGAAATGTTTCTTGGAACTTTTGAAGCACCGTGATGTACGCAGCTTGGTTTGCTGTTACGCTCGACGGCAGTAGCTGCTGATGACGGCGATGTTATTAGTTTTTTTCTGCGCTAAAATTGCAAGGTGGATCGCACTTTTGAGCTTTGTCGCCAAACCTTTTGTGGTACCAGCAATCGCCGTGGTAGGAGCTGGATGACCTGCGCGGAGTACTGTTGTTTCTACGGCGAGATCGAGATCTACGATTACTATCCTGATTAGCTTTAAGCTCGATACGGGAAAGAGTGTGCTCGATGCGTTTAATTCTTTCTTCAATGGAAGATTTTTGATCGATAGGATTATTATTGACGTTTTGCTGGGAATGCTTGTTTGGATCACGAGCGCTGACAACATCTACTGAGCTAACTCGTACAACGTCAATTATTTCATCAGCGATGGATGCTTGTTGCTCTAATGACATATTAGGGTTACACTTGTCGACGCCAGCGATAACTGCGCGTGCTGAAACTGGTAGCTTTTGAAGCCAGAAATCCTTGATAAGCCGTTTGTCTGTTGTAACACCAGTTCGTTGAAGCTGAGTCAGCATGTGGCTGGGTTTATTGTCACCGAGTTGTATGCCAAATGTTAGCTGCTCTAGGCGAGCAATGGGTGACATTGAAAATTTGCTTAGCACCGTTGTGCGTAAAGTCTCGTACTTATCTTTCGTCGGAGGATTTCTGACAACGCCAATGCCTGCTCATGGAGGCGTTCGTCATGTACATGACCGCTATATTAAATTTTGCGTTGTCGCGCTGAAAAAGATTCATTTTTCCAAATCAATTTTGTGAACTTGCTGTAGACGTGAATCAGCCAATCGTTTATTATTGGAAAAAAGTTTCAGTTTCACACAAATAAAAATTTACCCGATGGTTGTTGTGATTACTTTCTTGCTTCATTTGCATAGATTAAGCATAAAAAATGCACACATATTTACATAAATAGTGTAAATAATACATATGTATATGGTGGTAAGTATTTCCTAAAAAGGAAAGATGAAACAGGAACAGTCATGCGAAAACCCAGGTCAATATGTGCTGGAAGTGCTGGTTTCAGTATACTGCTTTGCTTTTTCCTTGGCTACATAGACACTTTCAAATTATAATTCACATGAAACATATATGTATCTACTGAGAAACCCCGGTTGGCATCAAACTATATATTTTCGCGGCGACAGCAAAACAGAAACTGAGACAAACAAGTCTGGGCATGTCATAGGGCACACTTTTCTTTCTCTACCTAGCGAAGTGATCAACATAATGGTCGGCATACTAGCCCATTCAAACGATTCAATAAGTGGGACTGTGTGCATTGTTCAGTTGGCGCTCTTCGTATGTGAAACACACATGTGCTCAGAGAGCGCTCAGAATTCTTAAAGGGTGGCTCACTAGCATGAATATGTTCTGCTCTCAAACTGCCTCAACTAAGATTTGGTAACTATGACTAAACCATTTGTTGAAAGAAAGCTGACCTGCATTAGCAGAGCTTAATAACATCCTTTTATGAACCATACGTTAAGTTGAATGAAATTTGTAGAAATATGCTTCAAACAAATATTTATTAGTAGTCAACTAAATTAACGGTTTGGTACAACCTAGATGAATATTAGAAGCTTTAATATATTTAGTTATAAATACCAACCCATGGTAATAGTTCCCAATCCTTGGTAGCAGCAAAAAGCTTTGATTTTGTCACCAGAAAGGTGTGTGAATCACAAAAGCGCGAGTTTCAGAGACCTACCAATTCATTATTTGACTTTCAAGGAACGAAAAGAAGCGGAAACTGAATATTTAAATCTTTTAACTTTCCCATGGAATAACTTTTCTCAGAACCATTCCATCCGACTCTGAAGAATTTTGGATAATTCCTTACGGAGTGAAAACGGCAACAGGCAATAAAATGTTTGGAAATATAAGTAAATTCATATTATTATCCTTGCCGCACTTAAATACTTTGTTGAGCGCGTTTTTTCCGTAATGAATTCAATAAAAATTAAGATTCGAAATAGGATGAGATTGGAAAGCCTTATTTCAATAGTTCGAATAAAGTGTTATATGTAGGCTAATAATTTCTGCTGCAAAACGTTTCCAATATCAAACAGTAAGTATGTTATCGAGGTTGAATAGAAAATGAATAGAAATGTAAATCATTCAGATTGTGGAAATAGCTGATCTCGCCTTATTATAGGTTTTTATTTAGTTTTTAGCGCCGAGCTCTTAAAAGCGGACTGTGCGATTAATCAATTAACATGAGTTATAATAAATTTAATAGTTGCGAAGCCCTATGTGTATTTTTAAAGAAAATTGTTTGTACACCACTATTATATAAGTCACTTGTGTTATTTATTATTACTTCTCTGAAGTTGGCAGGACAACTTTTTCTCAAAGCAACCTAACTATCTGATAATTTTCCGTAAATTATCCGTTGTTTATCCGTGAAAAGAATAATTTTTCCAGGGACATATTTTAAAAAATATCTCAAAACCAATTAAGGAAACCAGCTAAACCTAAGCTAAGTATTATAATTTAAATTGTTCAAAACGCGCATGAGTTGAATATATATTTTTTTTAACTGAATTGAATAGTAATTTTTTTAAACCTGTATGGATAAAAGTTTCCAACTTGTTCAATATAAAACGTACATCGACTTCCATGAAAATCTCAAGTCTTTTATTTAGTTTTGTTTTTAGCTCCTTAGTCTAGCATTATTGGCGGCCCTGTTGATGTCAAACAAGCTTGAGCAGAGAGTAGGCAGGTGGCCTAAGCGGCGACATAACGGTTCCTTGGAGAAGAGACTGCGTTTATTTTTACGCCATGTGACGCCATGCGCGAGAGAGAGAGGAAATGTTTGCGTCTCTCATAGACAAGCCTGAGTAGGAGGGAGTTAGCAAGTGCTTAAAGAGCGCAAACATTAGCTGTCGGAGTTGACGACATGACGGTACGTTTACAAATATATGTACATACATATGCGCTTGGAGAAGAGACAGCGTTTAATTCTTCCTCATATGACGCCATGCGCGAGAGAGATAGTTTTTGCGTCGCTGATCAGGACTGCCAATTCGGATGAAAGCGTGCCATTGTTGTGTTCGACCGAATGTTCGATTTCGGTTTCGCTTTGACGGTTAACCGACAATATTTTCATGTTCGTGTAAATGTTGGTTCCACTGAAGTTAGCAGGGCACGTGATATTTTTTAAAATGTGTCCGCGGCAAGATAATTCTTTTCACGGATAAACAACGGATAAATTACGGCAAATTATCAGATAGTTAGTTTGGGTTTAGCTGGTTTCCTTAATTGGTTTTCAGAAGGTGCCCTGCTAACTTCCACGGAAGTTAGCAGGGCACGCGTATTTTTTAAAATATGTCCGCGGAAAAATTATTCTTTTCACGGATAATTTACGGATAATTAACGGCAAATTATCCGATAGGAATTCTTGCTTTGAGAAAAAGTTGTCCTGCCAACTTCAGAGAGGTTTATTATTACCCTCTGAAGGTATTATATTCGTTTTTGGTTTTAAAACCTATATTATAACAAGATCTCATTTTTAAAATAAAAGATTTGTTAATCGATTTCATGCATTTTTAAAAAATAAAAATAATTGGCGATTTTTGGCGATTTTTTTCCAGAGCTTGGAGACCAAAAACAAAACTAAAATTTGGGATCCAGTATATTTAATGCGAATCGTAAAATAGAACGAAGTGTATGGCTTACTTGGCGAAACATAAATTTAAGTTTGTTATCACTTTATCTCGTGAGTGTAAATTTCTTATGAACTCAAAAATTGAAAATTGCATTTTTTTTAATTAGAAGCAATGTCAATCTCTTTTATGCCACATAGGGCAAATTTTTCAGTGCCTGTTTAAACTGAGATCATGAAAACTGCGAGCATATTTTAGCTGGCTAACATTTGATTGGCTAAACTTGGCTTACAACAGCTAGCTCCCGCGTTTAAACTAAGTTTAAACTACGGACAGATTTAACCGTGCACTGAAAAACAGCCCTAACTAAATAAACAGCTAGCGAGTTTGGAAATAACGCATATGTTTCAGTTGATAAACAAGTTTACTGATTTCCCGCGACTAGGGACACGAATTTCGATACAATACGATACCATATCGATACTTTTGGCATTCGATACCGATATTTTCTACTCGATAGTTTTAAAACGATATTTTTTGGAATCGAGTACCAGAACCCTAGTATCGTATCGAATGTCATAAACTCACATTACAAGGCTAATGTTATTAACAATTCTTCCCGATATAAATTGGACTTTTAAGAGCAGAAATGTGTAATATAGTTAGGATCAGGGACGTGAACCGGATGAAAAATTTGTTTGGTTCGGTTCAGCGGTTCGAACCGTTTTTGCACTTTTGGATTGGTTTGTCAAAGCGGTTTTTTTGGTCTTTGAACCGGAGTTTCGGTTCGGTTCAACGGTTCGAAAAACAAAACAAGTTTAAGTGTCAAGTGTCAAGTGCAACAACGCGCACGGTTAAGAGTCAAGTGTCTGTCAAATGAGATGGGTTGCCTTTACATTTGATATTGTCACATGGTAAACAAACATGATGGGTATTACCATGTTTACCAAAAAGAAAAAAAGTGGGTACATTTATCTATTGAAAATTGGTTGAAACGAACCTTTCAATCTTTATAGAAAGTGGTTCGGTTTTCGGTTCGGATCAAACATTTGTGGAAAATTTCGGTTCGGTTAATGGTTCAGTTAATTAATAGAAAATAGCGGTTTTCCGGTTCAAAACCGGTTCGGTTCAAAACCGGTTCACGTCCCTGGTTAGGATTTCATGTGGTGGAATTTGAACCCGCGAACTCGGTGTTTTAAGCCAACACCTCAATCTCTACGTGTTGTTACACAATATGTTAGTGTTAGACCGAGATTTTCCTCCGATTTGTCAAGTGCGCCTTAAGTTCTGAACACATTAAAAACGACGAGCTTCCAATTTGTTATCTTTATTGTCTAAACGTTTTGTCGAAGGCGACATGATTTTTTTGAATGCGTCGGCGACATCATGAATTTGTACGAGTTTGACATAAAAGAAGAGGAAGAACCTTATCTGTCGCTGGAAAGATAGAAATAGATCTAATCTGGCCACAACCACAGTCGTCGCGTAGCCCGGTCGTCGCCAAAATAATTATCTACATAAGAGTACGTGTTAAAATAATTTGACAACTATGGTCCATAGCTCGTCGTTTTCATTGTGTTCGGGCTATTAATGTTGTGGCACAAAAGGGGTCCCTACAGTTTTATGTCGACTTTGAACGGCGATTTTGTTTTAATGGGGAGTTGTTTTTTATTTTCAAGTTTTGAGCACTTCTAATCATTACACCACAGCGGCCTATATACAAGACCTATATTCATATAAATTTTTTGGATTTTGGTATCGATATTTGGAATATCGAGTATTTTCATTCCGATATTAATGGGTACCCGATATTTTTAAAGCGATACTTTAAATGAGTACCATATCGATACTTTCTGTTCGATATCGTGTCCCTACCCGCGACTTAAAATTTGTGTGTCTTATTTTTCGCACAAATAAAACAACAACAAAACAATGTTAAGTTTTTGCATCTTGATTTTTTTGCTTTCAAAAATATTAGGTATACGACACATACACATATCTAATAGCACACTTTTTGCAATAGAAAAAGTTACTGAATCCCCATGACATTTTGGTATTCATTTAGCGTTACGAGAGTCCAGAGTGTTCGTAATTCGTTGTATTAAATTTATCTAACAAAATAATAATAATAAAAGATTGGTGTTTACACAATATGTTAGCGTTTGGCCGAGCTTCTCCGCCGATTTGTAGCGTCCGCCTTGGTGTTGTCACTCACAGTAGAGGGACCTACAGTTTTACGCGGACTCCGAGCGGCGATTGCATTTTTATGGGAAGCTTTTCTTCGTGGCAGAATACACTCGGAGGTTTGCCTTTGCCTCCCGAGGGCGACCGCTATTAGAATACACTTTTTATACCCGAGCGCACTTCTGCACAAGGATATTATAACTTTGTTCACATAACGGTTGTTTGTAACAGTCAAAACGAATTGAGATAGATATAGACAAATGCATACATAAATGATCAGAATGAAAAGAGAAATCGATTAAGCGGTGACTGTCTGTCCGTCCGTCCGATAACTCGAGTAAAAATCAACGAAATTTGGTACGTGTACTTCTTTCGGGCGTAGGACGGATGGCATTGAAAATGGGCTAAATCGGACAATAACCACGCCTTCCTCCCATATAACGGTAATTTTCAGAAATACGAAAACTGCGATATTTTAGTAACTACTGAAGATTATTTACTCAAAATGGGTATTTACAATAATTTTTAGACGAAAAGTAAGAATATTATAAAGTTTTGGAAAATAGGCGTAGCCACGCCTACTTATAGTTGCATGTGTATATCTCGGTAACCGCTGCACCAATTTCTTCCAAACTTGGCACAGTTGTTAGCCTTGGTACAGCATACCAAATGGCCGAAACTTTTTAAAAGCGGGCAATAACCACGCCCACATGCCATATAACGGTAATTTAGGGAAATACGAAATCTTCGATAAATCAGTAAATATTAAAGCTAATTTATTCAAAATTGATGTTTGCAACAATTCTTTACCAAAAAATACGTTTATGATAAAATTTTGGAAAATGGGCGTGGCACCGCTCACTTATGATCACATATATAGATCTCGGTAACCGTTCCACCAATTTGTACCAAACTCGGTATGGTTATTGTGCTTGCCAAATAAGAGTAAATCGTTAAAAGTTATTGAGAAGTTATTGAAATTAAAAATTGAGGCCGCTTCTTATATAACGGTAAATTTCAGAAATGCTTTAAACTTCAATATTTCGAAATTTAAGGACGCTAAATTACTCAAAATTGATCCACCCCGGCTTACCATGTTGCGGTAGCTTTCGGAGAGGTGAAAATCACATATTTAATACTTGCGTCGGGTATTTAGTGTTCGGCTCCGCCCGAACTTAGATTTTCTTACGTGTTTTAAATTTTATTTTTTGATATTGCTCGGAGACTGGGCTTGACCCGAGGTCCTGCGGAATGGTAGCGCGTGTTGCTAAACACTACACCACACCGGCCGCCCTAATGAATAAAAACAAAAAAAATAATAGCATGCAACACTTAGCACATGCCACGCGACCAAGATGCAACAGTAACGGGTGACAAGAATCAACAACCAGCAATGAACAATTTATCTACAATCAACATACGAGTGCGGCAGCTACCAGATCATTACATGTCAGGTCGTGTTACCGTTGAAACACAATACCGGCGAACGGCGAGCCCAGCTAATTCGCTTACTGAAAGACATATAGATACGGTGACCATCCGTTCTGTTTTTTGCAGGACCGTACTGTTTTTCAAAGGTAGGTCCTGCGTAGTTTTCCAAACCTGAAAAACCTCAAAATGTACTGCTTTTTTACAAGTGTCCTGCATTTGTCCCGCATTTTATCCGTTATTTTAAAATTATCGGACAATGGATGGAGTTTTTCAAAAAAAGTGTTTCTTGGTACTTTTCGTAGCTTTTCTTCAATATCTCATGAAAAAATCTCCCAATCAACGTAAGCGACTTACATCTCGACGGGTATTGATGTGCCTCTTACCAAAATATATAACTTGTGGCGACTTCAAAGAAAATTATTAGTGCTACAGGCGACCATTTGCATTTTGTCGTCAAACTCGAAAAAAGTGAGATTTTCAATCAAATACGCAGTTTTATTTGATTATTTTTTTCATTAGTTTAAAAATTCGATAAAAAAGATATATCATTACAGTAAATTTTGAGCCTAAGATAATGAATATCGGATTAGAAATGTAAATGCAACGAAGTGCAATCTGCACACATTATAACCTTTGTAAAGGGCACATAAATACCTTTGTAACTCGTCGTTTACGTCGATTCATGACGTCGATTTTTGACAAATAACTGCGAAAAGCACAAAAAACAAAAAAGGGTATTGTTTTCGTTTTTAACGACTCAAAATTTGCCTATACAATAATCTTTTAAAGATTTTCACTTTTAGTGTAAGCTATTGTAATTATAATATGTTTACTATACTTTTATAAATATTCATGTAAAAAAAGATTAATATCGATGAAGAAAACGTGATTCGTTTTTAAAGTTTAAAATTTATTAAGAATTTAGAATCATAAATACTCTTGATATTTTTATACTACGTAAATATATGTAGGCATATTTTTTAAAAATTGTCCTTCATTTTGAATCCATATTTATGGTCACCGTACATATAGAGCGTTATTTAATTCAGAAGGCTGTCAACTGATAAGGTGACCATATTTCAAGAAGTAAGGAATAGGGAAATACCAGCAAGAATAAATTCAAAATATATATGTAAATAGTCTTTAAATGTGTTTCCTATTAAACTTACGTTTACTATTAAACTTACTTTTAACGAAATTAGTCTCTGGAAGAAATATATAAGGTATTTTATTGTACTTTTTAACAAAAATTACGATAAGTTTTAAAGTATGGTCACCATGGTCTTTTATTGCCGTTGCTGCTGACCGCGGCGATAGAAATAAGTATATCGTCGCGAACAGCCGTCGAACGAACTTCGTCGTTTGCTTTGTTGTGCGCGTTCTCATATATATATAAGTTTGTTTTAATTTTTACAGCGAATATTCGCAGCCAAAAATTCGTCGGTCGCCGTTCGCCGGTATTGAGTTTCAACGGTTACCCGAGCGCTATCTATAGCTGGATAATATGATAATTGACAAAATTACAAAGACTAATATCAAAAACTACTGGTGACATTACAGGTTGGCCAATATGAAATTAAATGTTTGGTTCAAATAGTAAGCGGTGTTTAAAGAACGATCTTGTCATGATGCTAGGTTCTTCAAGAAAAGATGAAAGTCAGGATGATACACTCGACATTAGCGACCCCGATCCTATTCTAAAATAAGAATTATTCTTATACCGCAATAAAAAAGAATAAATATAACTGATAGTCCTCTCAACTGATGCAGCCTCAATCGGATCGAATTTATAATATTACCAAGTTTTGCACGCAAACTTTGCAGGCAGCAACGTTTTTTAAATGAAATATAATACCCCAATTTTTGAATTCTTTAAATAAATTAAACATTATTAAAAATTACTAACTTTTCCATTTTTTCAGCTATCTAAATTGTTTCTTAAAAAGACTCGACCGCATTCGCAACATCCCTCGTAATAACATATATCCGCCGTACCGTAATCAACTACAATCAATAACAGCAATAATCAATGGAAGTACCTTCAATCAACAAGCAACAAATAAATAACCAGCATTTCTTTCAGTGATTAGCAGTGTATACAGAATTTAAAAACGACATAGTCAATAGCTAGCTCCGGGAAAAAAGTATTTTGTTTGCTTAATTTGTTACATTAATCAAGCTTGGCTCGAAACTAAACTCTATCTCAATTCTTGGGTACTAAAAAATTCATCTTAGGCTACTCCATTAGCTTTGCAGCATTGCATTCGGTCATCCATTACCCATGCATCAGCCTAAACTACTACTTACAAGAATTGTTTCTAAACCTAAATTTTGTGTGTAAACTTTTTTCTCGGTCCAGCGATTTTCATCACAAACACTGATTATTATAGTTGTTAAATCAATATTGACCTAATATCTGCATACATTAATCTGTACCAGTTGAACAAGGAAATTTTAAAAAATGGTTGTGTGTGTCGGTGCAACCAAAAATGTATTTTTCAAAAGCAAAAAAGAAAAAACGTAAAGTGCAAGTATTTAATACTCAACAATGCATATATAATCAGCGACAACAACTACTATATAAAAACTTTGTAAGTAAATTATTAAATCTACTAAATGCTTTCTTATATATGTATATACACTGGCAATCAAAAGTGAGTGCATGGTGTTTTTTGTTTAATATTTGCAATGTTTTTCAAGTTAAAATATTTTTGTTATTTTTTTATAAAAATATGGTTCATGCTTTAATTAAAACCACATAAGTCAAACTTTCAAACTTTATACAGAACATAGAAAAATTAACGAATTTTCGTCTAAACTTTAACCTGTTTAATCTGAATTTTTAGAAAAATGTTGAATACGCAGATAGATCGGTTTTTTAATTCTAATGGAACAACATCAAGTTTTAAGCGGCTAAAAAATCGGGTTGAGTTTTAATGATTTTTTATTGCTGACGGCTTTTTGCACTTTTTACCATATAAAAAGGGAATTTCTTGTAGAATAAAATGCGTATGACCGTTTGCAAACAAATTAAAAAAAAAAATTAACGCTATATTTTACAAATTGCACTTATATATGTATAAAACCGCAAAACCCGTCGAAAAAAAAATTCACTAAAAATCAACTCGATTTTTTAGCCGCTTAAAACTTGATGTTGTTTCACTAGAATTAAAAATGTAGACGAAAATTCGTTGAATTTTTGTGAGTTCTGTATAAAGATTGACTTATGTGGTTTTAATTAAAGCATGAACCATATTTTTATAAAAAACTACAAAAAAATTGTTACCTAAAAACATTGCAAATATTAAACAAAAACAGCATGCACTCACTTTTGATTGCCAGTGTATATACAGTGGCGGTCAAAAATGGATGAATGGTGTTTCGTTTTTAATATTTATAATATTTTTCAAGCTAATATGGTTCATGCTTTAGCAGAAACTATATAAAACACACTTTGAAACTCTATGCAGAACTTAGAAAAATTCCACAAATTTGTATTTAAATTTCGAGCTTTTTAACCAGAATTATTAGAAATTTTTTGGGTATGCAGTTAACAGGCTTATAAAGTTCTAGTAATACAAGTGCAAGTTTTGAGCAGCTAAAAAATCGCATTGATTTTAATAATTTGTTTTTGTTGACGGCGTTTTGCACTTTTTCCATATAAACATGAATTTCTTGTGGAAGTATATGCGCAAGACCGTTTGCGAAAAAAATAAAAAGTCAACACCAGGTTTCCTAAATTTCGAAATTTATATGTGAATAGCTCAGTGAGAGGGGAGACCAGTATGTTTGCATGTATGTATTTATATAAAAAAAATATTTATTGGTGGGTGGGCACTGTGGCCAGTGGTAACTATAGGTGAGTACCACCTTTGCATGATTGTAAGTCAAGCAGAGTCCGCAAAAAACTCCGGAACAGTGTCCGGAAGATGCATTAGACTAGGCCGAGCATACTTTGAACTACCATCAAATTATAACTTAAGAAAGTTTTATTACATGGCAGTTGAGAAGTGCATGTGCAAAAATTTCATTAATTTAATGAAGGAAATGTTTGCACATGCAGCAGTACATAGAATGCATTTAGCGCCTGGTGTTAGCAGTCGCGCCTAAACAATATGAAAAAACCCGTAAAGGCCGTCAGTAAAAAAAAAATTATTAAAAATCATTGCAATTTTTTAGCCGCTCTTGCACTTGCTTTACCAAAATTTCATAAGCCTATTAACTGCATACCTAAAAGATTTCTAGAAACTCTGGTTAAAAAGCTGGAAATTTAGATATTGTTGAATTTTTTTAAATTCTGTATTAAGTTTGAAAGTATTTTTTATATAGTTTTTGTTAATGCATGAACTATATTTTTATGAAAAAATATCAAAAAAATTTCAACTTGAAAAACATTGTAAATATTAAAAGCGAAACCCCATTCATCAATTTTTGAATGCCACTGTATATATATATGTGTTTTAACTGATAACTTTTGACTTTGTAGACCGATTTAAATTATTCCTTTTTTATTGGAAATGTGTAGTCTCGAAGTTGATCCGTAATGAACTTGGTCCAGTTCTGATGATTGCATCATTGACAAAATAACGAAACACTTTGATTTCAATTATGACCATATAAGCAATAGAGCGCTTCATTTTTGGCCACATTAACGGATTGAAGTCGGTTTAATTTTTTCAGTTGTTAATTGGAAAAGTTCGGCGATCTCAGCAAAATCGGCATTTTATTAGCGAAAAATTTTCTATTGTTAAGCTGTTACAGGTTGTCATTATAAATTAAAAATTTAAGATTTTTCGCCACCATGACCATACGAGGCTTTCGTAGTCGGATGGTTACAGTTATGTACAAGGTCCTGTTCCTGCTCCGAGCGATAACCAAAAACCATATTCCAGAGTTTCCTAAGAAAATAGTGCGGCAATATGACTCTCGACACTGAAACATTGTCTTAGTTCCCCAGAGAGCGTCGATCGTAAGCGCCAAGTGCTAGCGACATGTTACTGCCGTTATATTGTCCCACCGCTTTCTTAGGAAACCATAGCTTAAGCTAATGTGGGAATTTTCGAGAATTTGAAGGCCTAAATTTAAAATTATAATTTATTTTCTGTTTACAAATATCAGTGAAATTTTACCTTGATATTTAAAGAATGCAAGCAATTCGGCCGCGGTGGTGTAGTGGTAAGCAGTGCGCGCTTCCACTCCACAATGCCTGGGTTCAAACCCTGGTCAAAGCAACATCGCAAAAATATAGAAAAAAAGTTTTTTCTTAACAGCAGTCGTCCCTCGGCAGGCAATGGCAAACCCCCGAGTGTATTTCTGCCATGAAAAACAGCTTCTCATAAAAATACAATCGCCGTTCGGAGTCGGCGTAAAACTGTAGGTCCCTCCGCTTTGTGTGACAACATCAAGGCGCACGCCACAAATCGGAGGAGAAGCTCGGCCAAACACTAACATATGTGTAAGCGCCAATCTATTATTATTATTAAGCAATTCTGCATTCTAATTTTTTAAGTTCTACATTTTTGTAGTAAAAAAATGACAAGATGCAATAAAATAAAAAAAAATTGCTTAAAATTTGTCAATGAAATATGTGTGTACATATGTATGTGAGACATTCTTTTTCATATCGGACATCAAATTTGGTGTCACACCCTCGATTGGGTTAAAATTTTGTGAAATAAGCTAACACGTATTCGAGGATTTTTTTATTTTTTTCTTCTGAGATATGATCTCCAAATTTTGAATTTTTCGTACTCTCTTTTTGGTTGTTGTTTCCGACATGTACTTCTTCAAATCGCTATATTTCCGGTTCTGCTCATCGTAGAGACTTCACTTTACGTGATTTTAAAGCTACAGAAACGGCCTTAATATTTCTATATATAAGATTCTCATTATGACATATGCGAGCAGTGGAATCACATTTCCCGCTCATTAAGTACCGCCGTCGAAGAAGTAGTCGGATTTCAGCGAGCCCGAAAGAACCACTGGTACGATGAGGAGTGTCAGGAAGCTGCAGAGAAAAAGATGCCATCTACAGGGCCACGCTGCGATCGGGCGCAACGCGCGCTATGTGGGACCGCTATAGGGATCTGAAGAGGGAAGCTAGACGTATTTGCCGCAATAAGAAGAGAGAGGCCGAAATACGTGAGTGCGAAGAGCTTGAAATGCTGGCCGACTGGAAGAATGCCCGAAAATTTTACCAAAGAGTTAGGCGACTTACGGAAGGTTTCAAGACCAGGGCGTACTTCTGTAAGAACAACAATGGCGACCTTGTAACCGATGTTCAGAACGTACTTAAATTATGGAGGGTACACTTTTCCACTATACTGAAGTGTAGCAGCACCGAAAGTTGTGGAGAAGAAGAACCCGAGCTCCCAGTTGATGATGACGGAGTCGATGTTCGTCCGCCTGACCATGACGAGGTACGAATAGCAATAACGCGGCTGAAAAACAACAAAGCGGCTGGAGCTGATAGCCTGTCATCTGAGCTATTCAAGTACGGTGGCGAGGAGTTGATAAGGTGCATGCATCAACTCTTCTGCAGAATATGGTCAGATGAACGAATGCCCGAAGACTGGAATTTAAGTATGCTTTGCCCAATCCACAAGAAAGGCGACCCCGCCATTCGCGCCAACTACCGCGGGATCAGCCTTCTAAGCATAGGTTACAAGATCTTATCGAGCGTATTGTGTGAAAGACTGAAGCCCACCGTCAATGAACTGATTGGGCCTTATCAGTGAGGCTTTAAGAATGGAAAATCCACCATAGACCAGGTATTCACAATACCCCAAATCTTGGAAAACACCCGCGAGAAAAGAATCGACACTCACCACCTATTTGTAGACTTTAAAGCCGCTTTCTAAAAGGAGTTGCCTATACGCCGCTATGTCTGAATTTGGCATCGCCGCAAAACTGATACGGCTGTGTAAAATGACGTTGAGCAATACCACCAGCTCCGTCAGAATTGGGAAAGACCTCTCCGAGCCATTCGCCACCAAACGGGGCTTCAGACAGGGCGACTCTCTTTCATGTGACTTCTTTAATCTGATGTTGGAGAAGATAATAAGAGCTGCAGAACTGAACCGCTCAGGAACAATTTACTACAAGAGCGTACAATTGCTGGCTTATGCCAATGACATCGATATCATCGGTCTGCGAAGTCTGTCCTGCCTTTTTCAAGTTGGATAAGGAAGCAAAGCGAATGGGTCCGGTGATAAACGAGGACAAGACGAAGTATCTGCTGTCAACAAACAAACAGTCAGCACATTCGCGCCTTGGTAACCACGTCACTGTTGACAGTTATAATTTCGAGAAAGTACTTGGGAACCAGCATTAACAACGATAATAATGCCAGCATGGAAGCAGAATCACTCTTGCCAATAAGTGCTACTTTGGACTGAGTAGGCAATTCAGGAGTAAAGTCCTCTCTCTACGTTCGAAAACCATACTCTATAAGTCACTCATCATGCCGGTGCTGGTATATGGTGCAGAAGCATGGACAATGACAACATCCGATGAGGCGGCTCTTGGAGTATTCGAGAGAAAGATTTTGCGGAAGATCTACGGGCGTTTACGCGTTGGCGACGGCGAGTAC